ATTTTTAAAAAATGAGCAAAAGAACTGAATAGACATTTTTTCCAAAGAAGACATATAAATTGCCAACATGTATGTGAAAAGACATTCAACATCATACATCATCAGGGACATGCAAATCAAAACCACAATGAGCTATCACCTCACACCTGTTAGAATAGCTATTATCCAAAAAGACAAGAGACAACAAGTATTGGCAGGCATATGGAGAAAAGGGAACCCTTGTGCACTGTTGGTAAGAATATAAATCAGCACAACAAGTATGGAAAACAGTAGGGAGGTTCCTCAAAACATTAAAAGTAGAACTACCATAGGATCCAGTAATCCCACTTCTGGGTATATAATCAAAGGAAATAAAAATAGGGTATTGAATAGCTATCTGCATTCTTATATTCATTGCAGCATTATTCACAATAGCCAAGATATAGAAATAACCTGTCTGTCAAAAGTTGAGTGGATAAAGAAGATGTGATATACGTATGCATGCACACACTGGAATATTAATCAGCCATGAGAAAGAAAAAAATCCTGCCATTTGCAACAACGTGGATGGGCTTGAAGGCATTATGCTAAGTGAAATATATCAGAGAAAGACAAATATTATATGATTATCACTTATATGTGGAATCTAAAAAAGCTAAACTATGGAAACAGAGTAGAATACTGGTTACCAGGGGATGGAGCTGGGGAGATGTTAGTCACAGGATACAAACTTCCAGTTAGTTCTGAAAGATCTAATGTACAGCATGGTGATTATAGTTATCAGTACTGTATTATATACTTGAAAGGTGCTAAGAGAGTAGATCTTAAATGTTCTCACCACAGGAAAGAAATGGTAATTATGTGAGGTGGTAGAGGTATTAACTAATTCTACTGTGGTAATCATTTCATAATATATAAATGTATCAAGTCATCACATTGTACACCATAATGTTCTATGTGAATCATAGTTCAATGAAGCTTGGGAAAACAAGACAACCAACTTCACTATTTGTGTGTGCTCTGTCCCAGAGATATTTTATGCATATACAATCAATTATGCAAAACTACTGTTTTATTTTTAGCACAGACTACACATATTTTTCTGTATTTTGATTTTTCCATTTAATATATGTCAGATTATTCTAAGATATGAACTCCTCAAAGTTGTGAGGGTTTGTTCTTTAAAAAAATAGATGGAATTTCAGTGGGTGATAATTTCAAGAGATTGTGGAATGCTGGAGATTATTTTTTCCAATATGGGGATTAGATAAACCTGAAAAAATCCCAAACATAATTTATCTCAAAGTTCTTAAGAGCACCAAATATATGATTACCTCAGGTGTAAATATCTCAAATTTAGATAAATCAGATTATTTGTTTCTCTTGCCCTTTAAAAATAACCTCTATCATATTTACTGTACTTCCCTGGTTAATTACTGTGTTTCTCCCAGGAAATTAAGTATCTTGGATCTTACAGGTAAATGGGCCTTCTGAATCTAAGAAGACCTAACTCTCTAGAGTCAGTTATTCAGGCTCTTGAGTGAATGAGTCTCACCTCACAACTGCCCACTAGAGGGACCACGAACTCTTTTTCCCTTCTCTTCCGGCTCTTCCTTTCCCTATTTTATTTCAGGCTGGAGGCCCTCTAGATGACTCATCTTGCTGGTTAACCCTTAGAGCTAAACCCAGACCTACACTTTGACTTAAAGCAAGCAGAATTCTTCTAGGAAAGATTTGTATATCCCTTTCAAGAGCTCAAGGGAAGGAGTTACTGAAGTCTGCAGTCCTATTCCAAAATCCGGTGTCCTCTTATGTCCAATTTTAATCTCTCACTAACGAGTTTGCCATAAAAATTCCTTAAGTTGGGCTAAAAACCAATATACATACTCCGTATAAATATATGAAGTATATTATATGCTAAAGTATATTAAATACTGTTTATAGTCTTGAGCATTATCTTCAATAACATTTTAATGTCTATTTGAAACAAGCAACATCTATCTATATGAGATGAGAGCAGTTTGAAATTCAGATGCTATTTTGAATAGCATCCTAACACAAATACCTAAGACACTCCTTAGTAAAACCAGTGTTTTCCTTTTAGAGAAATGAGAGAGGAGATATTGAGGAAAGATAATAGATCCTCTGGCCAAAGAGATTTCTCAGCTCAACAGCTAAGAATGGCTCACAGACTGAGGTCCCCATGGTTTCTGGATCACAGGCAAGGCTGCGGAATTCAGTTTCTGACCTCAAGCCCCACTGTGCTTTGATGTACCACATCTCTGGGGTGACTTGAGGTCTTCTGTCCCACACCCCAGGTACCTGGTAACAGTGCACTCTTCAAACCCTTTAAGCTTTTGGACAGTCTTCAGATGAAACACGGGAAAGCACACAGAGGCCTTCTCCCTCATGACCCCATAACCCCCAGGTAAACACACCTATAAACTGGGATTCTCAAGGGCCGACATATTTAGGGGTTAGGTAAGTGACTAGATTTGTCAGGGCCAAGCCTAGGCTTTGAGAACATGACATACTGCATGTTATGTTGAGGATGGGAAGTGGGGCCCTGGCCTCCAGGGTCAGTCTGGAAGCTGCCTGCGAAGGCTCTCGGGGCTGATCCTCCTGTACATTCACTGAGCCTAGGTGGCCTCCGCACAGGAACTACTCAGTCAGACTGCTGCCTGCATGCGGGCCCAGGAGACCCCACTGTGTGATAAACGTGAAAAGATCAAGCTTCTCAAAAATTCTCCACTAATTTAAACTTGAATAAGTAAGTGATGAAGAATGATGTTCAGGGGGCGCCTGGGTGGCTCAGTCGTTAAGTGTCTGCCTTCGGCTCAGGTCATGGTCCCAGGGTCCTGGGATCGGGCCCTGCATCGGGCTTCCTGCTCTGCGGGGAGCCTGCTTCTCCCTCTCCCCCTGCTTGTGTTCCCTCTCTCACTGTGTCTCTCTGTCAAATATATAAATAAAATCTTAAAAAAAAAAAGAATGATGTTCAGAAAATTTCAGAAGGGAAGTTTGACAAATTCCTAGAGCTCCAGGTGTTTACCAAATAGTGAGGATTTACTCAACATCAGTCCTTGAAATCTGGTCTTGTGTTGGGTAATTACAGTCATGAAACGAACCGGTCAGCATCAGCAAGCCCAGGGCTCACTTAAACAGTCACAGTAACAATGCTTCTGCGTCTGTCAACTCTGAGCCTTCCCTTGTTCAGCTGATCTCCTACAGAGACTTGGCACTAGTCATAGTTACTGTCCCCACTGAAGCAATCTCTTACTTAGTCATTAAAAGCCACACTAAAGTTCTAATCAACTACCCCATTTCTTCTCAAGGCTCTATCTTTAGTATTGTGTATAGGAGGCCCAGCCACGTTTCTAGGCACTTAAAGCCCTCCCCCGCCATTGGTATTTCTCAAAGTGTGAGTCTCAGGGGACCTTCATTGATTCTGCTGGGCCACAGGCCAGGTCTAATCCGCGCTCTGTCATCGTACTCCCTGGGTTAGGGCTAGGAAACCTCCTTGCCAGAAAGCTCCTGGGTGACTCTTCCATGCACCAGACTGGGAGGCCCACTGCCCCAGAAAGAGATTCTCCTTGTTCAACAGCTTGGTTAGACATTAACACTTTAGAGCAAAGGGCGGCTCAGTCGGTTAAGCGGCTGCCTTTGGCTTTGGTTATGATCCCAGGGTCCTAGGATCAAGCCCCGCATCGGGCTCCCTGCTCGGCGGGGAGCCTGCTTCTCCCTCTCCCTCTGCCTGCCTCTCTGCCTACTTGTGCTCTCTATCTCTCTGGCAAATAAATAAATAAAATCTTTAAAAATGCCACCTCAGTCCATCTCAGAGCCCAGAAGGTAGAAACTTCCACAGGAAACACAGCGGGCCTGGGCCCAGGGGCCAGATACCTTCGTCCAGCTGCGAAGTCAGACTCTGTCCAAGGCCGCGGGTTCCATGCGATCACACAATGCAGGCCAATTGCACTCACTCATCACAGTAAAACCTGAGTCCTTGCTGCTCCCACCCTCAGCCCCAGATAATCATCTAATTAAATAATTCATCATACTGGAAGTCGGCAGGGCGCCTAGGCAGGTCCATCTCCTGACACTGACTGTTGACTGGAGCCCAGCCTGCTCAGCAGACTAACTATAAATCATCCCCACCACCGCAAGCACCAAAGGAAACCTGCCTCATGTGGTTTGACCCCAGACTCAGGAAGACACAAGGAGGTGGGGAAGGTCTTCAGAGGCTTTCTCTCTCTCCCTCTTCTTCCTCCTTCCCCGGCCATGGGGAACCACTGCCACCCAAGGACAGGGCTCTCCGCAGACAAAGCGACACCCTTTTGCCTGATGCTCTCGTTCACTAGCCTCTGAACTTCACCGCTCTTATGCACCCGAACTGCCCATGTTCCCAAGCCCAACCGGGCCACCCAGCACCCATCAGAGAAAAAGGGAGGGGCAGGAGACACTGTAGGAGGCAAGAGCCGGAGGTCGCAGGATGCCCCAGCCCACCCCGCTGCCTTCAAAGCTCGTCCTGCCCGTGCCCTTGGCCCTCTCCCACCTGCTTTCCTCAGTCTGTGCTGGGCTAAGACCAATGCCTAGGTCAGCCTCCCACATGGTTTCCAGAAAGGCAGAAGCCCCAGCAATAGCTCCCTGGCCTGTCCCTTTGGCATTAGCTCTACCTGCCTTTGTCAAGGCCACTTATTTTCCACAGCCCTCTGGGTCTGCTTGACATGTCCTAGACCAACTGCCCTCCTTATCACAGTGAAACCAGAGTCCCTCATCCTTCCCTTCCCCCGTCTCAGTTCCTCCGTCTGTAAGAGGGCACAAACAATAGGACCAACCACAATGGACTCTTCGAAGGAATAAAGCAGTTAAAAGTGTCAAGTGCTCAAGACAGTAAGGAGCCAATAAGCATGGACAAGGCTTATTTAAAGACAAGAGACAGTTTAAGAGAACTGGGCGGTGCTGAAGCCATGAATTCCTTTCCTTTGAAAGCAGACCCTGTGGCAGTCTCACCTCGGTGCACTCACCTCCCATTCCAGACGGCGGCGACCTCTGCCGGGCGGGGTGCTCTCTCACTCCAGTGGGACGGTATCTGCATGGGAGCATCGGGGGAGAACTCCAACCCTTAGATCCAAAGAAACACAAAGACAAATGTAGCCCGCTCTTAAAGGCCATGCCCATTTTGCTTCCCTTGACATCTTCCGAGCAGTAGCGAGGGAGTCCTAGCTTGGGCCCAATTATTTGTGGCACGGGAGGGCTTCTGGCTGCCCCCCGAGCATGCCCTGCTAAGTCCGGGGACAGTAAAGGGTGCGGTTGGTGCAGCAGAATGGAGAGATGGCCCAGGGGCCCTGCTCACTGGCTCCTACACAGAGAGAGACCTCTCGTGGGAAAATGGTCAAGGGAGGAAGGTTCCACTGGGGTGGGGGTGGGGGGGCTCTGGTCATCTATGGTGCTCCTGGGATAGAGGGACCCAAGGAGGACGCCAGAGCTTCCACTTGGCGCCTGGGCCTTTCCGGGTCCCTAGCACGTAATTCCTTCCCGTCTCCTGCCCAAACCCACACGCCAGAAACCCTGTTCCACATCAGGGGGCTCCTCTGGGCTTTTCCAACAAAGTGGCTTCGCAGTGGGGCCCTTCTTGAACAATCCTGAAAGGTAGGAGAAGGAAGAAAAGAATGGGGGCGGGAAGGAAGGGAAGAATGGGATGGAAATGTGTCATCTGCGGACGGAGCTGGGGATGGGGTGGAGGAAAGTCTGGAGAAGGGGAGGGATTGGAAACAATCCAAGTGGGGGGGAGCAGATAAAGTCCATCCAATGGATGATGGTTTGGCAATAACAAGAAAGGAGCTGTCAGGCCATGAAGAGACACAGAGGAACTTTAAACGCAGGTTGCTAAGAGAAGCCAAGCTGAAAAGGCTACAGACTGACTGACTGCAACTATATGGCCTTCTAGAAAAGGCAAAACTAGGGAGAGAGTAGAAAGACCAGTGGTTGCCAGGGGGAGGAGGAGGGACGAATAGGCAGAGCACAGAGGATTTTTAGATCAGAGAAAAGTGGATATAGGTCTTTATACATTTGTTGAAACCCATGGAATGTACAAAGAGTGAACCCTAAAGTAAACGGTGGACTTCAGCTAATAATAATGTACCAATACTGTTCATCAGTGGTAGCAAATACACCACACTACTGTTAACAACAGGGGAAACTCTACAGCGGAGTATGGGACCGCTGGGCTTTCTGCTCTGGTTTGCTACAAACCTAAAACCACTCTTAAAAATAAAATCTATTAATTAAAGATGGCAAAAACAAGAAAAAAGCAAAACAAAACAAAACCCAAGCCAAAACCGTCCCCCCAAAAGCAAAAACCAAGAAGACTGGGGCTAGAACAACAGCTGCCCCCTGCAGACAGTCTCCCCTCTGCAGACAGACAGGCTCCCCCCTGCAGACAGACAGGCTCCCCCCTGCAGACAGGCCTCCCAAACAATGCCTTAAATATTAGGAGCCAAAACCAGGACCCACTCTGTGTTTGAGATGTGGGGGCTGCGTTCCGCTCCCCCCCTCTCCTCAAATACCATGACCTTCATTAAGGTCATTTAATTGGATTTCTTTTCCCTTCCCCTCACTTAAGCCTGTTCTTTCCTTAGTCTGGGGGCAAAAGCCAATCTGGCGCAGCTGGCTGGTGAATGCTGGTGAAGTTTGCGCTTTAGATTGAGGCACCGAGAAAGGTCCGCTCTGTTGGGAAGCACCCTTTCCTCCCTGCCACGCCTTTTCCTTCTAACGCGAGTGCTTTTGGTCCAGGCTCATTCGTGCCTGCAACGGCACAGTCTGAGCCCAGGGGAGAGGCGCTACTCACCCTCCCACTGGAGATGGTCCCTCGGAGCGGCACGGCTGATGCCCAGGCACCCTCGGGGCGCCCGGAGGACTTCCCTCCTGGGCCCACGATCAGTGATGCTCCTTGGAGCTGGGTGGTCCAAAAGATGGTCTTTGGTGGAAAAGAGGCCTCTTTCACTGCATCTGGCCCCAGCCCCAAGCCACTGGGTCCACACTGTGCGGTGACAACAGTTTCTGGGTACTGGTCCACACCAGGTTTTCAGCATGGAGGGAGGAATAAACCCTCAGCTTCCATGGTGACCTGGAATAACTCATAATCCAGGCTCATGATTCACACATTCACGACCAGTGTCGCTACTTTCATGGCATTGGTGTTGGCAAGTACAGAATGGACACGTGGGCATGGGCTTTTGGGCTGGGTTTGGATCCCATCTATTTACTTACCGGTTATGTGACCTGCAGGAGGTTAAGCGCTCTAAGCCTTGGTTTCTTTGGCTGTAAAATGGGTGTTATAATCTGGTCTCACAGGAGACCTAAGGGAGAACCATGCCAGCTAAGGGAGGGGGTACCTAGTGGCCGTTAGCATGGGCATGTCCCCCTGCCCACCCCCAGCCCCCACAAAAATGAACCCTCTTTCAATACTCCCAGGCTTAGCTTCCTGTAGATGCAGAATCAACAGATAGTGCTCAGAATCACCATAGGGCGGCTCCGGGCTAGGAATCGGATTGAAAATTAAAGTGGGTGGGGAGGGAGGGAGGAAGAAGGATCATTCTGAGAGAATTCTAGCCCAGCACCAGGGAACCTATGCTGAATGTCCAGGGGCACAAATGGTGCTCGAGGTACAAGACAGCAAAGGGGTCAGAAAATGAAGAACACGCTGGGAGGGAGAAGGTCATAGAAAGATTTTCTGGTGACCTCAGGGGATTGACAGGGGTGTGAGAGGCATCTCTGCGAAGTGGGGGGTGTAAAGGAGTAGGCTCCCTGGACCACAGCCTCACAGAGGCACTGGAAGTGGGCACAGAACACCCGCAGCTCAGGAACCCACCCCCGGGACGCTCACTGCAACCAGGCAGGTTCATGTCTGTTTATTTTTTCAAAACAAAACTAAAAGTCACCACTCAAAATATTTGAGAAGAGTGCTCAGCTCAATCACAGTTAAAAGCTTTATGCAATCTGCTGCCAGAGCATCATGGACCAGTGGTCAGAAACGAGCGCTTCTGGCATGGCTCAGACCCGGCCTGGCGGCCTAAGACCGCCCTCTCTTGCCCCGTCAGCCCCATTATGGTTCTGTGCATGCTGCCACCCAGGGGCAGCAACTGGCCCGCGTCTGCGGAGGTGGACGGCATCCCCGGATTACAAGACATCTCGGTTCCCCACTGTGCTTCTGAGGGTCCAAGAACATCCACAAAGAAGGCAGGCAGGTTGAGGCCCAGGGGCTAGTGTTGTCTGGCTGAAAACCAAAACCGCAGTTCTGGCTCTGCGTCTTCACCTAGAAAGGTGAACTCCCTCGCCTGGGGCCCTCCAGGCTCAGAGGGGGAGAGACAGACTGGGCACCATCATCGCTCGTGCTTAATGTGGGCTTCACTTCGCTCCAAGGGGAGCCCGTTGCCGTTCCGAGGGCCTTCCTTCTTGTTCCAATCCTTTTCGGCGTACAACTCGGCCAGCACGGGGCAGTGCTCAGAAGCCACTCCGCCCCAGGACCAGTTATCTGGAATCCAAGGGTTCGTGAGGCCTTCTCTCACTACGGCCCAGTGACCTGGAGGGAGAGGGAAGAGAGACCCAGCTATCAGGCCTGGGGCCGGGGCGGGCCACGGCTGGCGGGTGGAGGCCTCTGCTGCAGCTCTGCTGTAGCCAGGATGCCCTGACCATACCCCTCAGATACCCAGCCTGCCGGGGCAAACGCCAGCAGCAAGGATACATATCTGACGCAGGGTCAAATGTCTCTCAAAGATGTGATAGCTCATTGTGGATTTGATTTGCATTTCCCGATAATGAGTGATGCTGAGTGTCTTTTCACGTACACGTTGACATTTTTTCCAAAGAAGACGTACAAATTGCCTATTCAGTTCTTTTGCTCCTCCCTGAACCTGAGTTTCTAGAACTTGACAGCAAGGGAACCGATGAAATGACTTCTAACTTCCTTTTGGAAGGAAGTGTTCTCTTCTAATGCGAGCATGCCCCTCCTGGCACCCCGGGCCAGCTGGGGCCGCCCTCTGGCCAGCTGTGCCTTTCAACAAACTGCATCTCACCTACTTAGATGATCGTCCCTCCCCCTGGGACCCACTTCCTTCCTCCTTCAGACCCGTACCTGACACAGTCCAACAGGAAAGCAGCACCCAGAGAGAGAGGTGCAAGAAGCTGGTGACATAGTCTGGACTGGAAATTCTGCTGAGGATCTCAGGCCTGGCTGCCCATGTGGCGCTCCCAGGTCAACTCCAGAACTGATACTTTCACACGTTGTCAAAGTCTCACTGAAGTATAATATGGATAACATGTTGGGCCTTAGCAAAGCAGCCAGGCAGGATTGAGAACCACGGTTCCTGTCGCTCATTAAAAGACATTACCTGTCACTGTCCTATTTCTAATTGTTTCCTGACCCAAAGTCTGCTCGGCAGCTTACTGGTTTGGGGGTGGCAGGGACTGCATCGTAGCACTGAGATTACCCACTGCACCCTGGTCCTCATGCGCTCCAGGTAAAGCACGCAGAGCATCCTGGGAGGATGCTCAGGATGCTCTGAGAGGTGTCTGCTCATCCTCAACAGCTGCTTCTCGGGGCACCGACAGTGGGTCAGGAAACCACAAGCCACAACACAGTGCCTGGATGTGACGAGGCTTGAGGAATGCTTGCTAAATGACTAAGTGTCTTTAAAATTAGAGTAAGCTATCGGTTCATCTCAGAATCGGTACTCTACTGGCCTAGAACCAGGTTTGCCCCTGCTGAAGATCAGTGAATGCTTTTTAATAATTTTTCACAGCCCCCCTTCCCTCTTAAGAGTGGCTCTGTTTGAATGATAGTTACAGAGGCACCTAAACCATATATGATCCTGTAAACGCCCACAGAGGAGCTAAGAGAACTCCCGACCAGAGTTATCAAACCAAAGGATCTGGCACTATCAGTTTGGACAAGTCTCTCTTATTCCATTTCTGAACAGGAGAAAGACTGAGTGACCTCTGCTTTACCTGTGAAAACCTTCTTTAAGCTTTTACTGATCCAGATATTGTCCAGAGACTTTGAGCCTTGGGGATTCTTGGTGCTGATGTTGGTGAAGGTGTGCGCAGGGACCAGGTGGTAGAATTTTTCTTTCCTCAAGATATCATAGTCACTGCTGTCAGGACCCTGGCCAAAATCCCCTAAAAAAATCATGTCTTTTTCTCCTGCAGGAGGAAGAAAGAAGAATCAGGCATTTAAAAGGTGGAGGGAGGTAAACCCAATATTGATCACAGCCCACAAATTGGGATCTCGAGTCTCTGATTGGACTCCCCAGGGTCAGGAATGCATCTGGTTCTCATTCTTCCAATTTTTCTAAATACCTTGTGCAATAAAAAAACAAACAAACAAAAAAACCCCAACATACCACAAGACTCTAAGAGTAGGTTAGTAACATATTTGGAAAAGGGGAGCTATGTGATGCAGAGATCACTCCTATTCCAGCCATGTGCTCCGAATCTCATGGAAGGAAAAGCCTGAGGGTCTCACCTGGATATTTAATAAGAGCTTGACAAACATTCATTGGGCACAGTGGGGAAAACCGTGCATAGATACAAGACGGTGGCCATCTACATGTCAAGGAGAGAGGCCTCAGGAGAAACCACCCTTGCCCACACCTTGTTCTCAGACTTCCAGCCCCCAGGACTGTGAGAAAATAAATTTCTATTGTCTAAGCCACCCAGACTGTTGTATTTTGTTATGGCTGCCCTAACTGACTAATACAGGGCCAGAGTGAAAAGGTTTTCTCTTTAAAGTATTTCCAACATTTCTACCATTGTTTGATGTACACTAGAGTAAGTGGAGTCATCATAAAGTATTTCCCAGACGGAGCAGACATTCTGAGAGGACAGTGGGCCCCAGCTAGGCTCTGGGATTCCCATCGTCTCTGCTTAACCATCACTTCCGGTCTCCAGGTTCCCTCAGGGGAGCCACATTATTGTGGGGAGCAGTGTTCCCGTCCTAACTTGCAAGGGAGGCTTTGAGGAAAGCAGTTCATGAATGAGAGCCAAACATATCTGAGACACTCAGCAAATCATTTTCCTGGACACGAATAGGTTTCAGCAATAATAGCTAGAGGCAAAGAAATCTGACGTGAAATGACATAAACCACCAGCAGAGGGCACTCGTGCCCTGCAGAGGTCACCCCCACCGCTAGAGGCCGGGAGGGACAAAAGGGGACGGGATGGAAGACTCCTGTGGCCCCACTGTGTGGCCTATAGAGATGTAATGGTACCTCTACGCTCTATCTCAACAACCTTGGTGGCCACAGCAGGGCAAGCTCACGCTGTCTTGCGAAATCAGTGCCGACCTCAACAGGAAAAGAAGACTTGAGAACAACTCCTACCTGACCAGTGCTAATGCCCATCCACGAGCCCTCACCTGGTATTGGGCCCTCTCCACAGGTAAGGAGCTAAGTCTCTGAGAGGCTGAATGGCTTGCTCCAAATCACTAGGCCAGCCCTCAAGTCCAGTGCTCTTCACAAAGAGCTAGAGTGGAAGAGCCACGAGGACATGGGTGGCTGTTCTTCACAAAATCCCACATGCCTGGAACAGGGCCTGCTGCATGGCAGACACTCGATAAACACGTACGCAATGAATGGATGAATGAGGCACAAGGAAAACGCCAGAATTAAGATGTACTTTTTGAAAGGAAAGAAGAGAATGATGCTATATTTATTAAATAACAAGAAAAACTGAACGTTATTAGAAAAGAAGCAGAAGGTTCCCACATAATGAGAGAAGTTTTCATTGGGAGGCAGACCTGAAAAAGTAGCCAGGCAGGATTGAGAACCACGGTTCTCAGAATTGGCCAAAAAAGCCAATTCTGAAACTAGGAGAGATGCTGGTGTCAAAGGTCAACGAACCCAGCTCTCTGTGTAACTTCAAGAATGAAAATAACAGCTCTCTTTCTGAATGGGCACATCCAGGTCTCCTACCACTCATCTGCTTTCTGTTAAATTGGTGTCGCTGAGGACATCAACACGGTCCTTGCCTCTGAGAATCCACAGGTGCGCAGAGAACTGAACTCTCCTGGAAAGCCATCTGCCTGGGGTGGGCTCCTTAGTTCCAAGGAATAAGGGGAGAATGCTTGGGGCGGATTTCCTCAGATAGTCCCCAGATTTGCAGAATGCCAGCAACAACAGCAGAAGCTGGTCCCCACTGAGGGATGGTCCAACCCAGATGCCAGGCATTACTACGCATGGTGTTTCACTCTAGTGGAGTTCACAGAGTGAGGCCTGGGGGGGGTGGGGGTGGGGAGAGGGTCTGAAAGAAGAACACTCCATCAGAGGACTGGCCATACACTCATGTCAACCCAGACGCACATTCCAGACAAAGGCAGAAAGTCCCAGAGTTTGCCAATCAAATCACTTCTGTTTGCTCTGATAGAGAGGCTGTGGAATAAAAAGCTTAGTCTTTGTTTTAGCTCCACCACCTCTGCTAATAATCGATTTGCCTCTGCACCTTGGGCAGGCTGGAATGCTTCCTGAATCCTTGGGCCTGCGTGTCACCTATTAACTGGATATTTGTTATAAGCACAAGGACGCAGGGAACATGAGTCACCGTCCATACCAGGACAAGTCAATGTGAGCCAGGCTGGGGGTCAATAGTCCCCTTGGCAACTTGGTTCAATAACCTGCTCACTCTCTGGGTGTCAGAAAAAAAACAGTGAGAAGTTACCAGAGAAGTTATGAACCAGCATTTTCCCTTTCTGCTTCCGTGTACGGACAAGGAAGAGCTTGAGGCAGAGAACGATAGAAACGTCCAGAGATGTTAAAGGCTATCAGGTCATCCTTTTTAACAGGTTAGAAACTAACTGTGGGTGAACAATTTCCCACAAAGATGCTTCTTGGATGGAGTATCTCAGCTTAAACACCTTTCTTTTTTTGTTTAAGCCCCAAAACTCCTAAGTGAAGTAGAACGCTGGTCACAGCACATCCTGGTTCAAAATGTAAGTTGTCTATCAATGTCCAGAGCAGCATTACTCACAACAGCCAGAAGACCATGAGTGGATAAACAAAATGCGATGGAGACAGATAGTGGAATAAATAGTATTTGGCCTGAAAAAGGAAGGAAACTCTGACACAGACTACACTGTGGATGAACCATAAAGACCTAATGTAAGCGAAGTAAGCCAGCAGCAAAAGGACAAATACCGCACGATTCCACCTAGCGGAGGTCCCTGGAGTAGTCGAATTCATAGAGCCAGGAAGGAGAAGGGTGGTCGCGGGGGTGCTGGGGAAGGGGACAGCGGGGAGTTCATGCTGAATGGGCACAGAGTTTCAGTTTGGAAAGATGAAAAACGCTCTGCAGACGGATGGCATGGTGGTAAGACCATGTAAATGTATTTAACGCCACTGAACCATACCCTTAAAAATGGTCAAGATGGTAAATGTCACGTCATGTATACTTTGCTGCAACCAAAACACCTTTTTAAGATGTAAATTTATAATGTGACCAAATTATTTTTATAGCTGGATGCTCATGAATCACCCATGGGAGGGGCTCATCTAACATGCAAAAGACAGAAAACGAGAGAATTTTGGTGAGCATGGAAGAGAACTGCAGGCCTCCAGCTGGAAACCCTCACCTAGAGAAGGGCAGGGCTCTGAATAACCAAGCCAAGCTGACAAGAGCCCAGTTGTCAGAGCAGTGGCAACTTTTCCTTCCGGTAAACCCCGCACACGAGAACTTTCTGTAACGCTGGGGCAGAGCCTGGACCCAGAGACCTGACTCCCTCCTGAAGCTCTGCTCTTCTCAGTGTTCTGGTATTTTCTGAGTCAGTTCCTGTCTGCCGAGCCCCTACTATGTGCCTGGTTTGTCCACAGACAGTCACCAAGCCCACCGGGCACCCCTGGGAGGTGAACATCAGCCACCCCCCAACCAGATGGGCTTCAAGCCGTGTGGGGGCTCGCCTGAGGTCCTACAGCTACTGAAGGAGCCAAGACGAACATCCAGATTTCCTGAGGGTGCCGGGGCTCCTTCAGGGTGACCTGCATCCCACCAGGGAGAAAAAGCCTACTTGTGCTCATCAGGGCTTTCCCAGTCCCCTGTCACCCACGATCTTGCTCTCACAAGCTGAGCACGTGCAAATCTGCAGGTGGTACGACCACAGTGGCAGCTGAACCAGGAAGACTGGCCACGAAGAAAGGTGTCATCACTCCCCCCGCCCCCCACCCCCACCAAATCCTTTCCATCAAAGAGAGGCTAGAAGAGCCCCAAAGCCAGTATCACGGGACGTGCATGGTAGGCCCGATGAGACAAAGACGTCACCACACACAGGGGTGGCGGTCCTCTGCACCCTCAGTATGCACCGCTGCTGACAGCTGGGTCAGCCTAAGGGATCGGAGAGATGCTTAGACAGAGCAACCCCATGCCTGCCCTCCAGAATCTGGGAGCTATCAGCCCAGCCACGGAGAAAGAGCATTTCCTACCTTTCAGGGTTTCCTGCAAGGTCTGTACAAAGCCAGCCAAGCGGTGGCTGTCACTGTGATTCCTGCTTGGATTCTCGCCCCCTGGGGGGCTCAGGGCCGCCAGGTGAAGGTTCACAAGGGTCAAGTCATTACTTCCCACCTGAGGCAAGAGGAAACAAAGCAACAGGGACAGGCTTAGATGTTCATATTTCCTGTATTCGTTACTTCCGACTTACAAGTAGCTTCTTGCACGACGTTGACAACAGTGAACACAAACCAGGCTGGCCCACACGCCAAGAGCTAACGCAAGGTGGTTCAGGGTCAGATTTTTTTCTGAGGCACCTGGAGGACCGAAACTTATCCTGTCCTATCAGTCCACCCCCCCTACACCACATCCCCTACTCCAACTTAGAGTCTGGAAAACCAGGCACATCTGGAAATGTCACGTTCCGGTTTGGCTTTTTTCCTTTTAAGCAACGACAAGGGAGGAGGTGACGGTGGCAGCTCTAGCAGCTGGTCATTAACCAAGACTGGGTTCTCCCCCTCTAGGGCCAGCCCGGGATCCCTCTGCAGGACGCCCTTCTGGGACCCACTTCCTTCCCCACCCCTCCCACCCCCTCTGCTTTTTCCCTCCAGAGACCACTCTGCTCTGATGTTCACTTTCACCAGATTTCAAATGTGTCAAACAGGGAAGCTGGCTGCACCTCGGCAGCACAGACTATGCCCAGTCCTGCGCCCCCACGGTGCGCGCCTC